AGGTTAGTGTATCCCTCATTGGGCCAAGCTAGTAGTCAAGGTTTTAGTATTGCCAATATAAGCATCATAGAAGTAACTGTGGTCTCGAGAGAATGAGGTTGATGAATCTCTGACAGGATCAGAGACAGGGAAGCCTCTGTTTGACTCTATACCAACAGGAATGACCCCACCACCAACAATTATATACACTAATGCAGTACCAGTCTTAACATCATTAGTGCCACTATCAGATACACGTATGGTAGCTTTGTGAAGATGTGTAGTGTCACGATCCAAATCAATATTAGCAGTGAGCTCTGCAGTGACATTATCAATGGATACATCAGTACTGTCAATTATGTCATAGAACAGCGGATAAGAGCAAATGTCACGATCAGCGGCTTCATATGTGCCTAGTTTAGTACCAATGGAAGACCCATCTTGAACCTGGAAGACATACTCTGGCCTGTCAAAGTAAGGTGCAATACTGTTATCATCATAAACTAGGAGAGTGATGGTCATTGTGGTTTGAAAGTTGAGGGTACCGCCTGGTTTATCCTGAGCAGTCACGTTAAACACATATGTGGCATTAACTGTTGTACAGAGTGAGTCATTAGTAATAATAGCACCAGTTGTCCCATTGATAAAGAATGGGAGAGGAGATGAAGAGAGACTGACCAATGGAGTGTATGTGATAGGTCTGTCATTACTGGTATCAGCATCAAAGGCTCGTATCGTTATGATCTGTGATCCCACCTCTGTGTTCTCAGTTTGGTAATACATTGAGCTCACGCCAACAAATATTGGTGGTGAGTCATCAATATCCAGTACAGCAATGAACAATGTTGTGTTGTCTTCAAGTGATGGTGATCCCAGATCATAGGCTGTGATGGTTAGTGTGTAACTTTGTTGACGCTCGCGATCAAGTGACTTAAAGACTGATACAATACCTGTTACACTATCAATACTGAAATCATCTTTACCCTCACCATCTGATATACGATATCTTATCTCAGCATTGATACCAGAGTCATCATCAGATACCTGCATCCTTACGCCAAGCTCAGTTCCACTGGTGGAATTCTCTACAATAGAGTCAGAGTAATTTAATTTCTCAAACATTGGAGCATTGTCATTGACATCAAGTACTTGAATGAGTACTGATGTGGTTCCGTTGAGCGATGGGACGCCAAGGTCTTCAGCGAAAAACTCAACTGTAAAGTTTTTAATTTCTTCGTAGTCTATGGGACCTTCGACAGTTACTCTTCCAGTAGTCTGCTCGATATCAAACTCTGTTAAATTCTCTGAGAGGATAAAGTAATGAATGACATTGTCTTCTTCATTGATGGCATCTGATGAACAGAATGAGCCATCATCATCATCAACAGCCTCTAATGTATCAACCAGTGTGCCCGAAGGACTGTTCTCATATACTGTCCAATTGTAGGGAGGAGAGAAGGTTGGAGAATTGTCATTCTCTTCACATATTGAGAGGTAGGTGGTTTGTGTTGGGTTGAAGTGACCATTGACAATTCGGAAAATCAATTGGAATTTGT